AGCCTCCCACAACATTCTTTATCAATACCTGTGACTCTCCAGAGCCTTCATCATCAAAGAAATACCTAACAATGGTACCATCTGCATGACCAGAGAGAATTCCTTTCCCAGAGCAACTAAAAAAAGAGAAAGGAGAGAAAAACAGGAAAAGAGTATTCTATCTCACCACGAAAGCCCCTTTCTCTGTGGAACACAGCCCTGTCTGTGGTTCCTGCCACCAGTTCTCCTGCCTTTCATACTATGGTCATGCAGTCCAGACTTCCCCACAGCGCTTTCCTAACACTTCCAGACTCTTGTGATATTATTCCTCTTTACTCACTTTGTTGTCAGGGACACCACATAAGACTCTGTCCCATAGATGGTAGAGGATTTATTAGTTTTGGTGTTTGCTAAACGAACCTGAAAATGGAAAAATGGACACAAGTATTGCTAGGTTATTTAAATGTAACCAGGCCATAAGAAAAAAAGGAAAAACTATCACACAAAACTGGTCCCTATGCATTCTCCCCAGTATACAACTTGATCCTAAGAAACAGGATGAACCATATTCCTCTCTCCAGAACCATTTTCCCAACCACCCCCTCTATTGTATTTCCCTCTTTTACCTTCCCTTCAGCCAGTCCGAAGACAATGATGTACTCTGCGGGCCACTGCAGACAAGTGACAGCACTCTGCATGAAAGGACATGATTAAACTGCTTTGCTTTGTGTCCGTTCAACTCAACTGTGTGGGCCAGCACATTTATAACAACTTGAACACCCCACCACACACCACCACCTCAATCCCCTACAGGGAAGGGACACAACAGGGCTCTGAGGAAGAAAGCAGGTGACCATGAGCAGCCACGAAACACCGTCCTTGCAGCAGGAAAAGTCCAGATTCAGATGTTAGAAATGCAAGTCCTGCATTTCTACTATATCTACTATACAAATATATCTACTTATATATAAGTAGATAGATATATTGATATAGATGATATATATAGATATAAGTAGATATATTGATAGATGTTTGCTCATCCTAAGCTTCCAGGGACTGGTCTGAACTTTACCGTCTGGATGAACTTGTTGCAGATGACTTTCTTGTCACCCCTGCCAAACAAAAGGAGGGGAGCATATTTAAAACCACGTCCATAAACAAATTGCCAAAAATGATGCTGAGGGAAGAGAAGAAAGAGCAGATTTTTCCCTGGCCCAGTAGTGTTTCTGACTACTTTGTAGGAGCCCTGAAAGGAGGCATATGAGGGAGGCTAAGGAGTTTCAGAACAGTAACAAAGATGCAACATCCCTCTGGGCTTCCAGGATCTCACAGGGCCTCCTGTTGACCTTGGGGTGATTCCTCCAGGGATGGGATTGCAGAACACATGGGACAGGCGAAGGTAGAAAAGCAACAACAGACTCCAGAAAGTGCCCTCAATACCCAAGCGTGGCTTCTCATCCTCTTCATTTCCCCTCCCCAGAGAGGCATTTCTCTTGCCTTTCTCTTCTTTCCTGGGCCATCCCATCTCCCAGCCTCTATCCTCACCAGTCTTCTCCAATCTTGTAGACATAGATGATGTTGTCAGTCTGTCCTATGGCAATTTTAGTGGAATCAGGAGAAAAGGCCATGCCCTTCACCATGTAGCTCTTCCTGCCATACTAAAAGTTAAAAGAAAAAAAAAAAAAAAAAAAAAGAAAAAGCAGTAATGAGTATACATGAAAGAGAAAAGAGAAAAAAGAAAAAAAGGCACATGTGTGCTCCTAAGGGGGCTTGGGGATTTATACTGAGAAAAAGGTGGGGTACCCCATTTCCTATACCTAGGAGGCAGACTAGTCTTCCAGGTTTGTATGACCCTATCAGTAGGTTAAGGTATACATGAATACACTCTTTACCTTCATGTCAGCTGGTTTGGTGGAGAATTTATCTCTCCGTTCTCCATGTTCATCATACAGCAAAACCACTCGGTCCACTGTGCAGACAGCAAATTTGGCATTGTTCTGGGACCAAGCCATGCAGGTCACCTTTGCAGCTCCATCCTGCAGAGGCAAAGGGGTAAAAGCAAACCCATGTGCTGGTCTAGAATGTTAAAAGCATTTTGAGCTCCATTAATTCTAGTGTAATTCTGGTCAATTTTCTTCCTGTCATGGTCCTATCCTCAACATAAAGAGGTGCCTGTGGTCCATCCTGGTCTCCGAGGCCTTCAGATCCTAGACTGTGAGAACCGTGTGCTTCTAGAGACTCATATGCAAATGTACTAAGAGGCAGTGTGCTAAGTCAACTGTATCAATGAATCACTGCAACAGCCTCCTCATTCCCTTAGATGCCAGGTCTGCTACTGAAATAAATTCAATTTGTCTGGTAAGTTTTGATTTCTAGCCGTTCATTCAATTAATATTTTTTGAGCACTTTATTGATCAAGGCATTTGGCCAGGGGCTGAAAGAAAGACAAAAAGAAAACATAGATTTTGCCTTCAGGTCTAATAAGATGGTGCAAAATAGGAAAAGTCCCATTAAAGTATGTATAAAGTGCTGTAACAGTTTGGAGAAGGCTGAGAGGATTTTATGCTTAAATTATCAAAATTAAGCTTTGAAGAATGAATGCAGTTGAGAGGAAATTATCTGAGATGGGAGGAATGGCAATGAGCAAAGGCAAGTTCTGGACAAGAAACACGAATTTAGTTTATTTAAAACTATTATACCTTATAAATAATAGAATAGGAGGGGTAAGGCAAGAAAAATGTACCAGCTCAGGAAGAGTCTTTGAAGCCAGGCAAAGGAGTTTGGGCTTATTTGGCAAGAAAGGGAGAGACAGTGAGAGTTCTGGATAGGAGGAGTGAAATAATTAGAGCTGAGACTCAGGATAAACAATGCCACTTGTTTTTCCTCTTACCTACCCACTTCACAGAAACCTAAGTTAGAAGTTATCTCCAGGTGAATTATTCTGACCAGACCTGACCCTTCCAACACTAGCTCTGCTCCTGTATGGTTCTGCTACTAAAGGTTTCCTTCCTTGAAATCAAAATATTTATTCTGCTTTTCTTTTGCTCCAATTGTTTGAATTAATTACTTGGACACTAGAGTTCTTGCTTAAAACATTGACACTTTTCACTCCAAACTCACCTATCTCCAAAGTCAGAAGTAAAAAGGCTCTTTTCCCCCAAATCCTCAAACCAGAAAATAGCCACACCACCAACACTATCACCCTCTAACTCTTTATTACATTAGGTTAGAAGGGCTGAGGGCTCCTCATCAACTTTTGCTGATCCTCCTGCTTCATCGCTTTGCCCAATCCTGGACATTCAGCCCCACCTGCATCATGACATCATCTTATTTGGAGAGACTGAAGGAGGATTTCATTTCCAATTTTTCCATTAGGGCAAAGAGATTTTTAAATTACAGATTCAAGGGACAGCCTGCTAAGCAAAGAGCACAAATCATTTTTTTTTTCTTTCTCCAACTAAGGAGAAAGTACAACTCTCTTTTGTTCTAATTTCCTTCTTTTTTTTTTTCTTTGAGATGGAGTCTCGCTCTGTTCCCCAGGCTGGAGTGCAGTGTCACAATCTCAGCTAACTGCAGCCTCTGTTTTCTGGGTTCAAGCAATCCTCCTGCCTCAGCCTCCCAAGTAGCTGGGACTACAGGTGTGCGCCACCATGCCCGCCTAATATTTTGGTATTTTTGGCAGAGACAGGGTTTCACCATATTGTCCAGGCTGGTCTTGAACTCCTGACCTCAAGTAATCCACGAGCCTTGTCCTCCCAAAGTGCTGGGATTACAAGCGTAAGCCACTGTGCCCAGCCTGTGTTCTAATTTCCTTCTATTGTCCATATGCCACACCCTCTGTGAAGCCTTCCTGATTCCCATAATCAATTAATTCTCCTTTCTCTACAATATGTACCTCGGTAGATTGTTTTATTAAGTGAAGTACAGAATAAAATAATAAGAGCTTGCCTTTAATAAGCACTTACCATAGAATAAGCTTTTTGATAAGTGCCAGACAAGCATAGTCTCATTTCACCTCGTAACACTAAGGTAGATGCTACATTTATCCCCCTTTTACAGATGGAGGAATGGAAGCCCAAAAAGATTAAGTAATTTGCCCAAGTTCACATACACAGTTTGTGAGTGGTAGAACCATGATTTAATTAATTATTTAATTAATTAATTTTTTGCAACAGAGTCTCACTCTGTCACCCAGGTTGGAGTGCAGTGGTGCAATCTTGGCTCTCTGCTGCTTCAGCTTCCTGAGTAGCTGGGATTACCGGCATGCACCACCATGCTCAGCTAATTTTTGCATTTTTAGTAGAGGCAGGGGTTCACCATGTTGGCCAGGCTGGTCTTGAACTCCTGACCTCAGGTGATCCTCCTGCCTCGGCCTCCTAAAGTGCTAGGATTACAGGCATGAGCCACTGTGTCTGGCCAAGAACCATGATTTAAATCCATGTATGTGTAAATCCATAAACCACAATCCCAATTTCTTTACTTAAGATGCCCTAGTACATATTACGCACTCAATTATGGAACATCTTATTTATTTTTGAGACAGAGTCTTGCTCTGTCACCCAGGCTGGAGTGCAGTGGTGTGATCACGGCTCACTGCAGCCTCGCCTCCTCGGTTCAGGAGACCTTCTCACCTCAGTAGTTGGGCCTACAGGTGCTCACTGCCATACGAGGCTAATTTTAAATTTTTGTGTAGAGGTCTCGGACTCCTGGGCTCAAGTAATCCTCCCATCTTGTCTTCTCAAATGCTGGGATTACAGGTGTGAGCCACTGTACCTGGCCAGACATCTTTGTCTAGCTTTGTATTATTATGCCCTTTGAATTTTGAATGTCCTTTCTCTTGTCTATCAATTTTTCACACTGCTTTTCAGTTTAAAATGCTCTTTTGGGTATATTACTCTATCTTACTCTTCCCCAAGTCCCCAAAAGTTGCTATTAGTACTCATGTTTTCCAAATGAAGAAGCTGGTGAGTGCTCAGAAACACCGTATAATAAAGGCTAAAGTTAGAGATAACAGGTCATTTGCTTAAAGATGTGGTGGCCAGCCTGGGCAACATGGGGAAATCCCATCTCTCCAAAAAAACAAAACAAAATAATAAATAATTACCCTGGCATGATATCACATGTCTGTAATCCCAGCTACTCAGGAGGCTGAGGCAGGAGAATAGCTTGAACCCGAAAGGCGGAGGTTGCAGTGAGATCGCACCACTGCACTCCAGCCTGGGCTACAGGGCAAGACTCTGTCTCAAATAAATAAATACATAAATTAGTGGTGGATCTGAAATAAGGAAAAGGCAAGAAATTTAAAAAGAAAATAAGAAAGTATGGTGGAGCTAGAACTTAAATTCTGGTGTGCTAACTCCAAAGCTCACCCTTTCTTCACCATGTTCCAGGGCTCCTCCCCTAGGTCTCTACCATCAGTATACACGGCTCGGTCTTTGCACTCCCCCTTCACGGCTTGCACCTAAGGCGCTGATTTAATTATGGGTAGATGTATACTCGCTGCTTACACGTGCACCTCTCCCTGTAATACGAGCCTCCAGAAGGCAGGGACAATAAGTCGGGTGGTTTGGAATTCCTTCGAGCGTCAGCACGGGGCTGGGGCCTGTACACGATTGATGTGAATGAAATGTAAGGAAAGCTTAGCGCTGCATCGCACCTCCCGAACACTATCGACAGGACAGGGTCTGGATCATCGCTATATCCTTTACGGCCTTCTGCACACAGTGGGAGCTCAACATCATTAAACTTCAGTTTCCCCACCTTTCTCGGAACATAAAGCGAAAGGGGGAGGGACAGGCACGCAACTCCTCACCTGAGGGCTCAGCAGGGTCCTCAGGTGCTTCAACTGCATGACGCACACCTGTCTCTCAGGTGCTACCAGATAGCGACAACTCCCGTGGTTACCTGGACAACCCGCCACGCAGCCGCAGCGACAGCCGCGGACGCTTACGCGACCGGAGCGCAACACGCGTCGCAAGGTCACACGTAGCTTTGCGACGAAGCAAACAGAGCGTGCGCAAGCGCGGTGAGATCTGGGGCGGGCCCTTGAGAGGGATTGATGAATGCTCTTCTGGACCAATCCTGTTGCGCATGCAAACCCTAACTCAAGCCCCGCCCACAAGCCTTCGGCTAGGACTTCGCCCAGAAGTCCTAAGTCATCGCGGTCCGTCTTGCTTTTTGTCATACTTGACTGCTGCGGAGTGCACTCTTTTAATCCTCACAGCCCTAGAGAAAAGCAGGGCAGTTGGTATTACAGTCCTTTTGCAGTTGACGGAATTGTACCCAAATAGGTTACATGACTCGCACGGGATCGAAAGGCTAATAACGATAGCTAATGATGAATACCCAGTATGTGTCTGCCAGGTACTGTGCAAAGTGTTACACATGCATTTGTGTCATTTAATCCCGAAACCGCCTTTTGAAGGGGATAGCATTATTATTAGTCTCATTTTACATAACAGGAGACTCAGGGCACTTGCTCAAACTAACACAGCAAAGGACTTGGAACTGGGATTCAACCCAGAGTTGGTAACTTTAAACACATTTTATGTTCCTTCTCAACTCCTAGCTCGCTCTGTCCATGCCGTGTTACTATAACCTGTGACACTCCCATCCCAATAAAGGATGATATTTATTCTCAGAATCTGAAAGATGAGTGTTTTGGAACCAGCTGCCAGAGAAACGTAAGGTGCCCTACTTCCAAATTGGGTAATGGTGGGTTAAAGACTGCTGTTTACATTGGAATGCTTTTATGGTTCAGTTTTGAGGACAGACCAGACTTGGCTCACCTGATAGTTGTCTTGTGATACCTGAGGTTGGAGGTTGGTTAAGTAGAAAAGATATTGATTTGTTGATCTTTGTTTGGATTGGAGTTCCTTTCCGAATTTTTGGCCTATCTTCTAACATACCAGAGATATTGAAATGCAGAAAAGGAGTTATAAGCCTGCTCTGAAATGATCCAAAGCCGGGAAGATCTGTGACTCTCCAGAAAGTGTAGCATATGCTCTCTAGGAAGATTGTGGGTCCAGAAGCCTACCTCCACAGTGGTTGCAAATGTCAACAGGTGTTTGTCTCATGGCCACCAACCACCCCTTAGAAAACAGGAAAGAGTAGAGGAGAGCCTCTATTTTCATAGGAAACAAGGAGGCCTCAGAGCTCAAATGGTAATTCTTTTGACAGGGGAGTCCCAACCCCTCAGTTTTATTTTCAGAATCTTCCTCTGGATATGGTGGCAGAGCATGAATATAAACTCATTTATGATTTACAGTTATTATTGACTTTGACTAAACAGAGACAGAGAGGAAAGGGAATGCAAAGGAGGGAGGAACAGACACAGGAACACATAGGATAGGAGCATGTGGCACCAGGAATCCACGAGAGTAGCTGTCGGTTCATTAGTCCCCAAGACACTGCTTAGTCCTTATCTGACCATTAGCCCAGGGTTGATGGAGGAGTCAGAAGAATAAGTGGTGAGGAGCTGTGCTGTTGATGCGAGCAGTGAAGATACAAAAACTACTGCCCTCTCATATGACATGCCTTAGTTTCCAGTGGTCCCGGAACTTACATCTTTCTCTTGTCTTTTTCCCCTTCTCACCCAACAAAGCAACAGAATCTGGGGTTCTAGTTTTCTACACCTCTTCTTCCTGGTCCCTATCCCAGGGTGGAGTGTTATTACACCTTGCAATGAGAATCTGCTCCTGTCAAGTAGGTGGTGGTGTGAGGGGCCCTTGGAGGGTCAGGAGAGAGACGAGGTGAGGAAATGTCTTCAGCATACTACACAGTCAGCTCCGGTTTGCCCAAGAACCTTTATTGGAAAAATGTCCAAGGAGTGAGATCACTGGCAGCTGAAGGGGCTGCCAGGTGAGGGGGGAGCACCTGAGGCTCCATGGAAGACATTGGAGTAGTGCAGTGCAGTATCTGCCTCTAGGCTGCGACAATTCCTTTTGTTTGCTGGGGAAAGAGGAGTACTCACAGAAACACGGCTCTCTGAGGCCCAGAGGCAAGATGTGGAGCCAGCTGGGGCTGCTGAGAGTCCTGATACAGGTGGAATGGGGCCCCCATTTGGGACCTAATGGGATAGGGTAGAACAAGTGACTCTCCCCTGGACCAGGGGATGGGAGGAGATATCCCAACTGATATCCGCTCCCCAGGTCCAGGGGCACAGACTCTTAACAGACTGGCTCTGCTCACAGTGGAAAGAGGATGGGTACCAGGCCTGAGATTGTGGGCATGTCATTACCCTCTGGGAGTGTCCAGCAGATCACCATCTTGGGCTTTCCCTGACCCCACCCCCATCCCCAAGTTGTTAGTGCAGCTCTCTTCTGGGTGTGTTTCTTCCCTCAAACGTCGATGGTGTTGATGGATGGTGACTTTTTCTGTGAAAGAAAATGGTCTGAGTCTCAGTTTCAGGAAGGTAATAGGTGCTGCCCTTTCTCTCCAGCCTCCCTCATCCCAGGTCTTCCATTTTCATCTTTTTCTGCCCCTCTTTGACCTT